CAATGCAGACAATGCGTGCAGGCAGGGGAATATTTTAAATATTTCAAACCCTCAGCATCTACTTAAAAACTGATATTGACGAGTTGCTTTATTCCGCAGTACTATTCAACGTAAAAGTTAGTTCACGCACCTATCCCAGAACAAGGGAATTTTAAACAGGTGGTACCAATAAATGCTGGTACATAAAATAACATAAAAACAACAAATAACATAAAGAGAGTCAGATATACTGTGTTACTTTGGACAACATTTGACTAATCCCAGAGTAGTTTGTTTCATTGTATTTGCAATTTATCTCATATGGAAGATCACATATATTTAGTTTATATTAAACTATAAATATTTATATTTATAGTATTAATGCCATTTAATAAAAATTCAATACTTTTAATGCTGGTTTACTTTGAAATTTTATTAAATGCCCTTAATATACTTGGAAAACATTATGGACATTGTAGGGAATCAACATGTCCTTTGAACAAATGTTATGAGAACTCAGGAGTAATTACAGGGATCTCTTTGAGTTCAAAAGAAAAAAAATATCAAGTACTCTTATTTTGTACATTGTAAAATAAATCTATCATCTCAGGTCTTTCTGCATCATGTCCCCTCTTTCCTACTTCTTTGCCCTGTAAAGTTTTCACATTTATTTAACCCGAACTCCTATTTTGGGGGAAGGAGGGCATACTGCTTCTTTTTGGCTTATTAATAGGAAACTGTGGGGGGGGGGTTTTGTTTTTTTTAGAGAGAGAAAGTGGTCATGTGAGCCAGCTAATGCATTAGCAGGTGAACTAGCTTTCCCTGCCAAATGAGTCAGCTCAGATGGGAACATTAATTTATTTGAATGGATAGGAGTTGACAATACCGTAAAGAGGTATGGGTATAGCTTAATGGAACAGCTGCCAAGAAAACAGAGGTTGGGCCTGGTGTGATCTGGCAAGCACCACAATGTTTTTCTTGTTCACAAGATCTCCGCTTCCTAATGGAGAGCGCTCTCTCCTGGGTTCCTCTGCTAAAACGCAAATACTCTCAGCTAAGCGGTGCCTTCACCTATGACCAGGTGTGAGTATTAGATTGAAGTTGCTGGTATTCAAACCTTCTGAGCTACAGAAGTGGTAGTTTTCTTTGATTTAACACCGTATCTTATTAGGGGTAACTCATCAGATAACTTGTTATGGAACCGAGAAGAGAGGGGACAAGAAATCATTGAGACAGCAGAAGACCGGGAGTATGAAGTATTGCCTCGAGTCAGCCATGTTATCAGGGTCTGGTAACACCTCCCTCACTCTGGGCCAGGGATTTTCAACCAGTGTGCTGCACGAATTTTTAAAACATGCCATGCCAGACCATTTAGTCAGGGGCACTGACCTTTTCTCCCTTAGATTGTCCAATAAAAAAAAAAATGACAACAGGCAACCCAACAATAGCTGTCTGGAGTGAATGAATCAATAATATATATTTGTTGTCAGATCGGCAACAAATTAGTGATTAATTTATGTGTGCCATGAGATGAAAATGGTTGAAAATCACTGCTTTAGACACAGTAATTCTGTTATTGCTCCCTAGATTACATTCTACTGTTCTGGTGGCCATTTTATATTGCACTCATGTAAGGCTCAATGCCCCCAACCTTTTCTGAACCATCTTTTCTATGACTTGCCTTTGAAAAAAATTATATATATATATGAAACACCTTTATTTCTGTGCTTTAGTTTTAAAATGAAGGACTTAAGACTACATGGCCCACAAGTTCTCATAAAGCACTATTTTCTATGATTCTACTCTCTATAGGAAATCGCACAGATAAGCAACAATTGGAGAATTTGCGAAGCATCGCTTTCCCAAGCATACACACCCATGGCAAGGATCAGGTAAGTGCCCCAGGAATGCAACTGTGGAAGAGCCAGCGGCAAATTTTTAATAAAACCGGAATTCTCATCATTTTTGAGTCTTGTTAGTTAACAACCCTTGGAGGCACATACATGGGTAATTGAGGGCAGCATGAAAGTTGGTCTAGAAAGTTTAGGTCTTATTTGGTAATCTTCTCTCTTGACCTCAAGTTGCAAACAGATAAAAGGAGATATAAGCATTGGAAGCCACACAAGGGCAGTGATACTTGGAATATGCATCTACTATTTTACGTATTCAGCACTCTGCTTTTCTATCCACATGGCTTCTGCTGGAGCTGCTATGTTTATTCACTCATTTACACAACAGCTATTTATTGAGTGCTATAGCTGACCCTATTCCAGGCCCTTGAGCTATAGCAATGGAAAAAAAAAAACCCCGCAAATTCCTCATGGAGCTTCCAATCTGATGGAGGAAATATTACATTAGACAAGATAAGTAAATATTTGGTCTGTCAGATGACATGTGCTACAGGAAAAAGAAAAAAAAACAAGCAGGAAAGGGAATGAGGAAAGTTGAGGGACAAAATGAATGAAGCACAATGTTTTGTAGGTGGCCAAAAGTGTCTTCATCTTGAATATTTTTGGAACTGGATCAAAAGAGGATGGGTTAGCTCTAGCTAGTTTTGTTCAGTGGATAGAGCGTCAGCCTGCGGACCAGAGAGTCCCAGATTCGATTCCAGTCAAGGGCACATACCTTGGTTGCAGGCTCGATCCCCAATAGGAGGCGTGCAGGAAGCAGCCAATAAATGATTCTCTCTCATCATTGATGTTTCTATCTCTCCCTCTCCCTTCCTCTCTGAAATCAATAAAAAAAATATACATATTTAAAAAATCAAACAGGATAGTTTAAACCAAGAATCTGGAATGAGGAGTGGGGAGGGGGGGAGCCTGTTAGAATCAAAATAGAAGAATAAAGAAGACATAAGAGGGTAGCACAAAAGGAGGATGCGGAGGGAGAGAGAACTTCTCAGAGCCTGCATAATATTCCAATATACTTCCGATAAATCCTTTTAAACATATCCTTCTGATAAAACCCTACGCTGGTATGAATCAATTCCTGTTACTCCCAAACAAAGAATTTCAACTCCTACATATATTAAGTAAGATAACCTATAAATTCAAGGCTTGCCCAATGTAGATGTTGGTTACTTCAGGAAATTAGAACCCGGTGCTTCTGATGCCAAGAATACAGACCTGACAGCAGAGAGTAGAATTAATTTTGCTGTTCAGAAATAAATTTTGCTGTTCTCGCAGCCCAGAAATAAAATGTGCAAGAAAAATCCATTTCTTTTTTTCCTTTTAATCAAATTAACTTTGGTTCTGCATTGCACTCGTGGAACACTCGAATGGAAGTATTATTTCTTCACCCCTACTTCTGCCCTCCCTTCACTCCCACATCCCAGGGTCACGACTGCATTAGGGAAGCTTACTGATGTCTAGACATGGGTAAAGGCTCTGTAATCTCCCAGTCATCATTGCTCAAGTCTGCTTTAAACTCTCTCTCTGCTTCTAAGCCCAGGCGAGAGCACAGCGATCTTTGCTGAAGCTAGAGGGTGCTTTGCTCCCCAGGGTGCAGCCATCCATCTGAAGTTACACCACCTTCCAGGAAACTCCAGAAGCTGGCTTAGGTATCCACTGATCCTGGGTCCTGACCATCTTTCCCTTTCTCTGTCCTTATTCTTGAAAGAATTCTCTTCTGGCCTCTACCCCACTCCTCTTGGCCCAGGAGTGATGTTTTCACTTAGCTTGGGCTTTTACAATAGCCCACAAGACTAAGTGACTCCCTTTTAGGAATCTCAGCTTCTCTGCACCCAGCAAAAACTCCCCAAATATTTTTTTCCGGCCTTTCTTTGTTTTGTGGTCTGATATGCATCACATAAAATTGTCCCATGTTAGTGTACAGTTTTGTGGCTTTAAGTACCTTTGCATGGTTGTACACCCCAAAGGTTTCATGGGATATCTGGTTGAAATGGGGGATGGTGAAAACAGAGGAAGCACAACAGTCTTGAAAATATTATTCTTTCATGTATTTGTGGCACTTCAAATGGAGTCCCCTGAGAGGTGAGTCTGAGAAGCTAAGAGGCACCATTAGGATATTAGATATTACTAATGTGCAAGAGGAGGAAGAGGAGGAGGAAGGGCGGCTGTAAGACTTGGGGAAACAAGGAAGGAAAACCTTATCTGCCTGACAACACTCATAATCTGATGTTATGCATCTGGAGCAGAAGTAAAACAAAGACTTGCTCTCCGCTCTGCCTGGGGCCAGACCAGAACCATGTCCCTGAGTTGTGTTGGGGAGAGCTTATCTCCCAGAAAGGCCTCAGCGAGAAAGTAAAGTTTCATCTTATCAATTATAATAATGCCGTTTGATACATAAGCAGTATGTTCCAAAGGGATGCAATCCACAGAAGAGTCGGAATTTAAAATCTTGGAATTATTCAGAATTACACTTAATGACTTGTAAGGGTTGGGAGGGGATGGGGCGGAGAGTGCCTGCGGGGTGTCAAAACAGCCCACGTGATTTCATACTGGCCAGGCCTAGAAGTTTCTTCCGGGGATTGGAAGACTCTGAATCCATTTATTCATTTCCAAATAATCAGTGTGTGAGGCACTGGCGAACCATACAGCAGGGAACAGGTGAGTAGGTTCAGGAGCATTTTAATTCCAAAACCGTAAATCCAAGAGCACAAAAAACTCAATGAAGTCACGGTTCTTCAAAAGTCAGAATTTTTAGTTTTTTATTCTTGGATGCTGGATCTTAGTTCTGTCAAGGGCTTGTGAGCAAGTGCAATGTGAAGAGATTTCCCGCCGAAAATACTCACAGATTTGGTGTTTGGGTACAACAGCTTAGTTCTTGCCATTCTAAATGACACCTGCGGCACCGCACTGACATACTCGAAGAAGCAAACGAGAGTAAAAGAGAAAAACCACTTACTCCATCACAGCCCTCCGAAGGCACAGCTGCCTCTCAGCCTGCGCAGGGAGTCCGTGGACTACAACTCCCAGAAGCCCTTGTGACCCACCCACCCGGCAGCACCGCTTTGGAGTCGGGCGCGCTCCTTGTTGCGTCATCAGGGCGCGACCGCAGGTACAAAACAGACCAGGGCTGCAAAAGCATGGCCTCTGCTGAGGCGGCGGCGGCGGCGGCAGCGTTGTCACCGTCGTCGTCGTCTTGGGAAGCAGATTCAGCCCCAGTCCCTGAGGCTGCAGGAGCCGCTGCCGCCGCGGCGGTGGCGGTGGCGGCCGCGGCCAGGATGGGGCCCGGAGCCAGGGTCTCCAAGGCCGCTTTGGCTACGAAGCTGCTGTCCCTGAGCGGCGTGTTCGCCGTGCACAAGCCCAAGGGGCCCACCTCAGCCGAGCTGCTGAATCGGCTGAAGGAGAAGCTGCTGGCAGGTACTGCAGCCCGGGTGGGGGCCGAGAGGAAAGCGGGAGCCATGGTTCAAGGCTCACGAGATGAAAGGGAGAGTGGCCACTGCGGTAGATCTGGACCCACATCTGGGGCGTCTCGACATCTGGGGCGTCCTGTAGCCTAGTTGGCAGTTGTCTCTCCCGAGGGAACAAAACACAACAAAGCCCACGCGTTCACAAATGCAGCCTGGCACTTGGCCTTGCTGTAATCTGACCCCGGAGGAGCCTCCGGTGTAGCTCACGTCGGGGAACGCCACCCAAAGGAAGCGCTGACTCCGTGCCTCTGAAGTTGCATGGGAGAGGATGTTGGAAATGCAGACACGTGTTCCTTTTATAAACCAAGGTTTAGTGCAGAGGTTTTCACATAGCGGGCCTAAGAAGTATTAGAGACCCTTGTGCAAGTACAGATTCCCAGCCCTTGCCCTCCCCGAGCTTGTAATTCCAAGGACTGGGATATTTTTAGGAAACTGCGTTTTTAAACTATTGCTCCAGGTAATTCTGGTGTCAGTAGTCTAGGGGCCACATTTTGGGAACACTCACTAGAACTTGGTCACTTCTCTAGGAGCATTCTTTTTGTTCGTTTGCTTTGCCATATACACCGGAAGAACATCGGAAAAGCCTGAAGGTTCTCTCAGACCATCTGCTAGGCCTAGTAGATCATTTCAGGCAGTGGCATCAAGGAACCTTAGCTATTTGTTGGACACCTACAGTAATCCGATCTGTGTTAGCCTGGAGGGATGTGAAGGTGAAAAGTAACTCTCACCCGTCACCTGAGCTGGTGGCCTTGTAATTTCGGCAGCCTTTGGTGGTAAAACGGTTTAGCTAGATTGGTGAGATCCTCAGACTTTGGTCCTGGCCTATCTTTTCATTCAACCAGTGCAGGAGTTAACCATCTCACCATCGACTATCCCCTGGCAAACTTGACATTTTTATTTTAAAAATGCAAAAGCAAATTATCCTGCTAAGACTTTGTTCGTTGAAACATTGATACACATACAGATTTACATGTTTATTGGCAATAGGCACCCTCTTGCAGATGCTTTATTCCAGTTTTATGCCTACTCCTTCTTTTGTTAAACTGGCCTTATACTTTTGTTGCCTGTAGGGCTGGGTGACAAAGGAGATGTTGAGAGAAGGAATTGCATCCAGGGCAGGCTTTGTGGGGTTGTTTCCTTTCACAAAATGGCTGCATTCATTTGGCCCCACTTGTTAGCTAAACTGAAGGCTTTTCTTTGACCCTCAAGGTAATGAATACTGTTCTTTTTCTTTGACAGATTTCTGATAGGATCAAAGCCAAATCCTGGCTTTCTGGTTAATCTGCCTCCACGAACTGGAGTTTCTTCTTGAAACTTGGTTCGAACTGATGTGCCAGGGCATTGCTGGACATGCCTGTGGCTTTTTCTGGAAGCTGCTCACTCAGATACAGACATCCTCATTGCTACGCTCCATTTCTGTGTTGCTGGTGATTGGCCTCTTCTGTATTTATATAAGCTACACCAAGCCTTCCCCAAAGCATTTCTGACTGGCTGTTGTGATTACCTGGGATGGTTCTTAAAGAGACAGATTCCAGGGCACCAGAATCTAATGCCAGCCGGTTTGACAACCCCAGTCAGTGGTCTTGACCTCTGTGTATTAACATTCCTTGCCTTTCCTTACATTGATTCATGTCACACTAAAATCCCTACTCTTCTTTGCCTGTTTGAATCTTTTAGGCCCGAACATCAGAATTTTATGGCTAGAAAAGACCTTACTAGATAGTCATCCATGAATAGTACCAGTGGGGCGAACCAAACTCCAGCAGAGTAGAGTGATATGCCTTCACGCTTGAAAGGGGTAAATTTGGACACAGGAGGAAGACAGTAAATGTATAGGCCTTTCTACTCCCAGGAATGTCAAGCTGAAAAGAGAAAGAATTCCACCAAAGGTTTCTGTAAACTCAGGGATGAGAGATCCGTAACAGGTTGTAAGTGAAAGGAGAAGAGTGGGCAGCCCAGGCCGGGCCTTACAGGTTTATATTAAAGCAGGCAGCATGCCTGTGTCCTACTCAGAGAGCGGCCCGAAGGCTGTTCCAGAAGCCATGGTTCTGTCTCCGTAGGGAGTGGTTATGTGGTGAGGCTCAGCGGCTCAGCAACCCAGCACGGTTTTTCTGGCTTCTCACTATTGCTCTGCTTTGGCCCTTTTCCTTTTTTTTTTTTTTTTTTTTTTTCTTCTCTCTCCTCTCTTTTCATTTTCTTTTGCTGTGTCTTCTGTCTTCTTGGTGTTGGTGATAAGGAAGGCTTGGCCGGCTTGGCCGGTGTGGATCAATACAGCCGTTCCTGCTCCTCTCCTTTCTTAGTTGAAGTCCAGGAGCCAGTATTTTTTAATACATTCTTATACACCATGACAACAACAGCTACCTACGGGTAGAGTGTTTTGCCATTTCCAAAGCACTTTCAGATAACATTATTTCATTTTATCTTTAGTAGAATATGAGATAGAACAGGTGGGCATCCTCTTTTTTGTTGTTGCTCTTTTTATTTATTTTTCTTTTGAAATATTAAAAAAAATACTTTTATTGATTTTTATTTTATTATTATTTTATTTTAGATAGAGGAAGGAGTAGAGGGAGGGGGAGAGAGAGAAAGAGAGAGAGAGAAAAAAAGAGAGAGAGAAAAAGAGAAACATTAGTACGCTGCCTCCTGTATGCCCCCCACCTGGGATTGAACCCCAGGGAACTACCTTTTGATACATGGCACACTGAACTACACCTGCCAGGACTACCCACTTTTAAAAAATATAATCTTTTCCTGATTGAAAAAATGAATCCTAGTTTCTAGATCACTGATTTGGGAATACTATAATTTTCGTAATTAGGGAGTATCCATTTTTAAATCTGTTTTTTTTGCTAGTAATGGTGTCATAATCTAAATTGTTAAGTGTATATAATACTTTTTATTTGTTTTAAATACCTCATCTTCCTTCCCCGTCCCATATTTGTGAAGACGCTACTTCATTTGCTTTGGTCTTGGTAATTACCTTTTTCACCCCGTTTGCTCTCACAGAAGCTGGGATGCCTTCTCCAGAATGGGCCAAGAGGAAAAAGCAGACTTTGAAAATCGGGCACGGAGGGACCCTGGACAGTGCTGCCGGGGGCGTGCTGGGTAAGAGCTGCGGATGGGAGTTTACTGTCACTGCCACTAACTAAGACTAAACATGGACTGAGGACAGAGAAGATAAAGATAAGACAGAGCCGGGCCCTTTTCAGTCCACTCTGGCATATTTCACATCCACTGGCCTTCCCAGACTCAGCGGCCATGCTGTCTCCCACGTGGGAAGCCTGCCCACCTGCTTTTCTGCGCTGCCGATGTAAACTTCCTTCTGGGCTGAACACGGCTCTTTTTATTTCCGTGCCTACACACCAGGCACAACAGAAATGGGACTCTGATTTGTTTTGATCGATTTGAATGGGGGAAAGTTGAGTACAATCTTTGTCCAGCAGACTGTCCCTTGAGTGAAAGCTGCATGGTTGGCTGGGTTTCAACTCCAGGCAATTTCTCTACGTACCCCTTCTGGATGAATCCTCCTAAAATCCTACTTTCCCAGCCCACCAGCCTTCTACGGGCCTTGGTCACCTTGGGTACCAAATGAGAGGGTTAAGCCGGGTGACTCTCAGATGCCTTCTTGTTTCGGATTTTGTTATTCTGGGTGACTGACCTAGCAGAGCAATCAGTTTGGCATCCCGGCCCGCTCCCCTGCACTGTAATTGATAAACCCACTGTGCCCATCCTTGCATCTTTAGAATATGGCCCTCTCTGCTCTGTGTTCAAATCCTGCACATCCCCGTTTGCAATGCTTGAAGGAAGCATTCTCTGGCCCTGACAGCCACTTACCGTGCCACTTCCTTTACCTCCTACGGCAGTTGTTCTCTCTCTTCATTTTGACATTTAATCATCGTCTGTAATATTGTTATTTAGTGTTATTCACTCATTGATCCAGGCAGCTTTTGAGGGGGAGCACTTGTGATTTTCCTTGTCTGAGTTTTATTTTCCCAATAAGATTCTAAGCTTTTTCAGAGTCTGAAAATGTGCTATTCCACTCGAAGTCTTCTTCTTGGGACCCTGCGCATAGCAGATGCTTAAGAAATACCGTTTGGAGATTCTTGAAGGGAACAAATTGCATTGAGTCTTTGTTGTAATTATTATAGGAAGTTTTTGCCTCCCGTAGTACCAGCTATCGTCTGAAGAGTACTATGCTCCACAGAGCATAGTGGAGGCAGACAGTTGTTATCTTAGTCCTGAAACTAATATTACTTTTATCATGAATGCTTAAAAAGGGTTGAGATAGACCTGATGAAGGAGTTGGGATTTGAGCTGGGTTCCCAGGGGTGGACTTTGAATACTTTGCTTAGGAGTTGGTACTGTAGGCTTTGGGACCCTATTGAGGATTGTTGGGGTAGGGGAGGCCTTGTAGTGTACAATATAGGTTTTCAGAAATGGTAGGGATTGGGGGAAAGGGTAGGATGTAGGAGTTAGGCGTGCAGAGGTTTAGGCAGATTTAGGCTGGCGGCAGGCAGTGGGAAGAAAGCCTGGGTGAGGAAGGCGGGAAGGAGGATGAAAAGGAACAGCCAGTCTGATTTGAATTTTAACTTGTGAGATGTGGGGCAAAGTTCTTAGTCTATATTTCAACTTTCCTATCCATAAAATAGGGATAATCGCATTACCTTTTAGGTGTGTTATAAGGATTAAATGAGCGAATGAATGGAAAACATTTAAAAGTGGAATTTGGTAAGTGGTAAACTCAGTGAGTGGTATGCTATAAATATTCATGATAACTCAGCTTGCCAATCATTTCTCCTCTTCTTGTTATTCTGAATTGTGGTGATTATATTGTGTTCTTATACAAAATTGTATCCATTGATGAGAAATATTTCAATTTTTACGAACATTTGCTCACTGTTTAGTGAAGAAATGATTATATCCTGTTATGCTCGACTAGTGAAATGTGTTATCATGTGGTTAAATAATGTTTGCCAGAGAAGAGACAGGCGGGCCGTTGTACTTATGGTCTATGTGAGCAGACATTCTCCAGGCTCTCGTTTACCACGTGTTCTTAGCGCTGGGTTGATTTGTTAATGATTCTGTTTTCTTGATTGTGTAAAGCTGGGCAATAATCGTCTTTAAATGGTTCATTAGCTATGATGATAGCTTTTGCTTTGTTTAATAATGAACTCTGTCAAAAGACTGTCATACCATGGCTAATTGTACCATGTATTTTTCGCTGATGCCCGTATAAAATTCCAGTGAATTCTTTAAGATTTTTCTAAGACTTGTTATTATGTAAATGACCTGGTTGAGGTTTCTACCATATTTTACACTTCGAGAAAGAAAATAAACCTCCCTCTCTCTCTCTCTCTCTCTCTCTCGCTCTCGCTCTCTCTCTCGCTCTCTCGCTCTATCTCTCTCTCTCTGTCTCTCTTTCACTTTCCCTTCCTCTATCCCTCTATCCCTCTATCCCTCTTCCATTCCCTCCTCAGAATTTCTTAGCTGCATGACAAGCTCAATGAGTAGGAGTATTAGAAGTCCTCAATTTATGCTAAATATATGTTCTTCCAAACTTTATGTATGCCAGGAAATTATGACCAGAATATGTAGATATTTTAAAAACCTACTTTTCATAATAGAGTGTCCTAATATTTCTTTCTTTGATTTCTAGTGATTGGAATTGGAAGGGGAACAAAAATGTTGACCAGTATGTTGTCAGGATCCAAGGTAAGAATACTGCAATAGTTCTCTTTTTCTTTTTATCTTGAATATTTTCCTCAATGACCATGTGTTGGATTTTATCGAGTAAGAAATAAACTCTACAAATTGCATGAGTGGGTGTCCATCCTGAGTATTCCTCACAGACTCCGCAATCATACCTGAGAATTAAAAATATCAGGACTATACATTGGAAATCCAAGATTGAAAAACAAATTTGATTGATAAAAGCAAAAACTCTGCTGTGCCCATATCTTTAAAAAAATCATCTATTTTTTATATAATTATATTTCTTAGATGCAAGGTTACTTACCATAAATTCTATTGGCAGATTTAATAAACCTTGGAATTTTTATAGAAACAATACCATTTTATAAAAGGTGCACTTTTCAACAAACACATGCTTTGTTCAGTGGTTGCAAATGTTTGCTGAAGAGAAGAATTTGGCTTCTTTTAAGAGGCTAAGTTACATCATTCACCTGTTAGAGTAACCTTGACTTTTTTTTTTTTTTTTTTAATTGATTTTTTACAGAGAGGAAGGGAGAGGGATAGAGAGTTAGAAACATCGATGAGACAGAATCATCGATCAGCTGCCTCCTGCACACCCCCTCTACTGGGGATTTGCCCGCAACCAAAGTACATGCCCTTGATTGGAATCAAACCTGGGACCTTTCAGTCTGGAACTGATATTCTATCCACTGAGCCAAACTGGTTTCAGCTGCCTTGACTTTTTTTGAGCCTCTTGAAAGGAGGGAGAAGAGGGACTGTGCAGGACTGGGGGTGGCTGAAACCCATGGACTGCATCAGGCCTTCAGGGGGGAACCCTCAGGAGGAAACGGCGGGGTGAAGGAGAGAGAAACGAGATGTCAAAGTGGTTAACCTTTCTGGGCCTCAGGTTTTCCTCGGGAAAAATGATTTGATCCTCTTCAGGGTCTCTTCCAGTTCTAAGAGATAATGACCTCTGTATTGGATTAGTTTACTGGGTTACAATAGTGGGGCTACGGACCAGCGAAAATGCCTATGGAGGACAGTAGGTAGAGAAGAATTTCAGCAGGTTCCTGGACTAAGCTTTTTGTTTTAAAACCCTCGCTCTGAGGGGGATATATATAGTGGATAAAGTGATTTTTGTCTAAATTGTTTTGTCTAATTTGTTTAAAAAGAAAAAGGTGGTAAAAGACTGTTTAAAATTGTTTTCCAATTCATTGCAGACCGATTGATGACTTTTGTAAAACGTAATTAAAACGTTACAGCATTGTCACATTGCTGAATAAATTTCTAAACGCCTTAGTTTTCTGAAATCAATCTCGTCATGGACATCGGATCTTGGACCACACTTTGAGTGGCAATGATCTAAGTTAGCTTTTCCTCAAATAAAAAGCCCTGGAGAATGTAATGCCTTTGACATTACATTTTCGTTACCAACTCTCATAAAACCTGTCTTTTTCCGTTAAAATGGGTGTTAACGCCTTAGAGAAGAATTCAGTGTTGCTTACTCTGCAATCTTCAGAATGTCGGGGTGGAAAAGGCACAGAATGCAAACGTTGTTTCAGAATGCAGGAGTTGGACTGTTTTACAGGAAATATGTACACTGTGCTTAAATAGTGACACACACACAGCTTAGAATCTGTTTCTGATAAATGTGTGCGTATGTTTTGCCAGTTGCTTAATATTTGTTTGTTAACTCTAAACTATAAGCAATAGCAATTTTGATACAGAATAATGGATGATTTTTCTTTTCTTTTTTGTTGTGGTTTGGTATTTTCCAAAATCTTTACCATAAACAAGTGACTTTTATAATAACCAAAAAAACGATGTATTTACATTAAGGAATTTGTTCGGGTTTTCCCCAGATAAAATATTTTGAGTTCATTGGAATATTTATTATCCACCCTCAACCACAAGTATGCAAAAACACATTATATCTTATGGAAAGGTTTTACATGTAAATTCCAGGCATATTTCCAGAAATATGACGACTGGAAATGTAAATACATTGTTGGCTCTGGCTTAAGCTCTTTTTGTCACAAACCATTTTGGTGTTGAACTAGGAAAGCTGAATGTCATAGAGTGAAGTCATTTAAATGGAAAATCCCAGGTGCCTCTCCTCACAGAAACCTGGTTCCTGGGTGCTTCGCATTTCAAAAGGAGGATTATTATCTCATTAGCTCCTTGTATTTTCTATACTTTGAATGTTAGGTCGTGTATGCGTTGAACTATTAAGTTATTTGGATTTTATCTTAACTTTGTTGAAGATGATGTTTTTCTCAAAAGCAGTTAAAACTGTTAATGCATTTTAAAAAATAGATTTCGGAAGGAATCTTAGAGAGCTTCATATTCAGGGGCTTTCACACTTTTTTGACCAAGACCCAGAGTAAGAAATTCATTTGACATCATGACCCTCTATACACATACATGTATAAGAAACATGTATGTTGTTATTAAACAACCTTAACCGGATATCCGGCTGCTCCCACATCTATGTGGGCAAAGCCAGCATTTCCTCAGGAGGCAGCTTATATCTCCTCCAACAGCTGAACAAGTGTGATTGTTGGGGTATACACACTTTCCCGCCCTGGATGTGCTCAAGGACAGCAGTGTACCCCAAGAATACAGTAGCATTTTTAGCGTAAACCAGTCAGTGTCATTATTGACTCGAATAATGCTCCTGTGAAGTGTAGCTGGCTCTCTACGATCTAAGCATGGCTAACCCCTTTATCAACTTGGTTCAGTTTGTACCTTTTCTTTACCCTCTTGTTAATATTCATGCATTTCATTAGCGCTACACTGAAAGTTTTGAAGGGCTTACACTTGTGAACTGTACAAAAGCACTCCCTTTTTAATGAAGGCATTCAGAGCCACATGTTTTTGGTTTGGTAGTGTGCTTTTTTAAGTGCTCTTCCTCATTCTGAATAATATCCCTTTGTTTGTGAAACTTTGAATCACAGGCTTTCAAAATCAAACTCCAGAAAAAGCAGCGCTTCGTTGAGATGAAAATAATTATGTACACTCTCTGTAATACAAACATATTCCTTTCTTCTGATGAGTTCAGAAGCCAACTTGCTTTTCATGTTGTCTAGTGGGGTTCAGGGAGCTGGAGGATGAGTGAAGTGGAGACTAGAGTGATATTAGTATCAGCAAGAAGCCATGAATCCCAAAGAGCACACTGTTCAGTGGAAACTTTGAAAATTCTACAGGACCGCCATTGGTTTTAATGTGGTGGAATTATGCTGTAATGAATTCATTCACAGAATTCACACTTTCCAGATATACATCATGGAGCATAAACAGCTCTAAAACCCAGTCTCCGTGTAGAATTTAGGTCAGTGAGAAATACTTTAGACCCCATAGCACAGAAAGGTGGGATTGTGTATATACACTGAGTGGCCAGATTATCATGATCATAATAATCTGGCCACTCAGTGTATATGTGTGTGTGTATGTATGTATGTATGTGTGTGTGTGTGTGTGTGTGTGTGTGTGTATTTATTTATTTACTTACTTATTTTAGAGGCCCAGTGCATGAATTCATGCATGAGTGGGGTCCTGCCAGCCTGGTCAGAGGGAGGGGACATGGGCAGTTGGCTGGGCCTGCCTGCTGGTCGAACTCTTGGTCAAGGGGACAGTTTACATATTAGTCTTTTATTATATAGGATATATATAATATATCTGCCCCCTGGGCCAGAATCAAACCTGGAACCCTTCAGTCGCAGGCCAACGCTCCAGCCAAATGGCTAGGGCTGCTTTCCCCATTTTAAGATAATGGAGATGAGGCTGTAATAGGAAAGACTACTTTAGCTTACTTTACAGATTATGTGGAGTGAGGGTTCTAACCTCTGAGTCTGTGCTCTTCCACTCCACCCTACTGTATTTAAACGTCAGTTCAAATGCATTAGAACATTCCTTCTGTGTTTTATTTGTAAAATTAAACCCGAACTGAATAATAGAAGGTTATTTCATAGAGGGGCATGAGGCTGTTATAAACTGTCTGCTTGCTTATGAGGATTTGAAGTTTAATATTTTTTTTCATTTGTGTCTGGTCTCTTTACTAGCATAATAATCTTGTTAATAAACTGGAGCTTCCTCTTTTAAAAATCGCTCACATAGCCCTGGCTGGTATCGCTCAGTTCGTTGGAACATCGGCTTATACACTGAAAGGTTGCTGGGAGGCAACTGATTGATGTTTCCCTCTCACATTGATGTTTCTCCCTCCCTCCCTCCCTCCCTCTTCCTCTTCCTCTCTTTCTTCCTCTCATCCTCCCTCCCTCTTTCCTCCCTCTCCCCCCCTCTCAAATCAATAAGCATGTCCTAGGATGAGGATGACATAGCTTCAGATTTTGCTTAGTGGGAATTTCCTACCTTGCATTTTTCTCTCTATTCTATGTGATGCTATAATTAACATTTTAATTTGACCAAATGAGAAAAGTATAAAGACTATGTAGTCCAGTGAGTGTGCCCTGAGTTAACTAAGAATGATCTAATTCTTTCCTTGTGAATAATGACCATTTCCTAGAAGTGACTTTTTCCTTTAAGGGAGCTACATAATTAGTTTTTCTTTAAATGCATAATCAGGTTACAAAGATTAGTCTTAGTATTTCATATAAGAAGTAGTAAATTGATTTATTTTAAAGTCAACTGTAATTGCATATGTGGTAAAATTGTTGACTTGTGATGGTATAATACAAGTGTATTATACCATTCTCAAAGTATATATGAAAATTTTCCTTCCCAACCAAAACTAGTTTTAGAAATCTGTGCAACAGTAGGCCCTTTAGCAGCCGGAGAGAGGTCAATGGAGGGGTTGAGGAAAGGGAGACATATGTAATACTTTAAACAATAAAGAATTTAAAATTTAAAAAAATAGGCCATTTATAAGCCACAGTTATTGATAAAATCACATTTTTCTTTGTCATGTTAGCTGGTGTGGGAAGTTTGCTAATGTTCTCCAACGTACACATGTATTGTACTTCCCACATATCAAAAACGAACAAAACACTTGCAGTCTATTATTTTTGCCTTTATTTTGTACAAGCTGGTCATATTAGTAAAATCCTGTATGACCTTCAGAACATGCATGACAGTTTTCTTTACCTTTATGGCCTGTGTTTCTCCCTGTTTCTCTTCCCCTAGAGGTATATTGCCATTGGAGAGCTGGGGAAAGCTACCGACACGCTGGATTCTACAGGGAAAATAACAGAAGAAAAACCTTACGGTATGGCATTCATCTAACGTTCTCTATTTTTTAACATCAAGAAAATTTTTTGTGTGTGACTTCAGAATTCTCTAACTTGATACTGCTAGTGATTTTAGTATCCAGTACATTTAAAAAAAAAATGGTTTGAAATGGTTGTTTATTTGGTATGAGTTTGTTCATAAAGATTTATTATAATTGCCTCTTTTTCTATAGTCCATTTTTATAATGCTCAGAATTCTTCCAAATAATTTCCTTTCTGAAAAACACTTGTTGCCAGGACATAGGACATTTTTCCTAGTAAATGAGAAACAAAGCCGAGAGGCTGTCCTGTTAGATGCTCCCTGTGTCTTGCACTTGTTTGTTTTATTTGCTTATTTATTTTACAGTTAGCTTCTTAGCCGTTGAGATAAATGCACCATGTTTAGTGCTTTCAAACTAGTCATGTCTCTGCTTTTGGAGTACATAAATGATACGGCAAAGAGAAAGCTGTTTCTCTGGAAATAAAGCATAACTCACTGAGCCCAGCTTAATTTTTCTACTATTCCTTTTATTTTTTATTTTTTTTTATTTAACTACTTTAAGAAAGGGTAGATAAATGAAATGGTTTCCTAGCAACTGTCCCAGTTCTCATGCTATTTATAATGCACCAGTTTTGTACAGTCATTTCACCTACGTTATTATGTCACTAGTTGTGAGTTATAAGTAGGCTTTCTGGGGAGTGTTTAGTGTTATCACTCCTTAATTTACCTAAAGGCAGCCCAGCACCTGGTCTCTCTGTACTTTTGTGGTGAGTGTCCTCGCTATATGGTTCCTATTACCCCAGTAGTGAGACCAACCACTTCCTCATTCATTTTTTCTAAATTTTCGAATTTACTGGTATCAAGTTGTTTATATTTTTCATGATTTTTTAAATTTGGAAATAATACCAAACTTAAAAGTTGCAAAAACAGAGCCATATTTTTGTAGTTTTCAGCATACAAATCTTACTTCTTAATAGCATAATTTTGATGCTGTTATAATTGGATTTTTAAAATTTTTAATTTCTGACAATTCATTGGTAATATAGGGAAATGGAGTTGATTTTTGTATAATGGCCTTTTGTCTTTCAACATTGCTAAACTCCCTTACTAATTCCGGTCGCTTTTGTGTAGATTTCCCATTAGGGTTGGTGTAAAGTAGACCGTTTTTCAGGTCTAGATTAGCCTTACTCCTGAGACAGGCTTTGCTAGTGTCTCGGTAGAATTTCTTCATTCCGGATGGTGGGAATTCACACGTCTTTCAGCCTTGTGGGAGCGTTGGTTCCAGTTCTTTGGTTAATTTTGCAGCAGCTCCCGCTGTCTATATGTGCAGCTTGGAGCTGAGCCAGGCCTCAGCGGGAGCCCTATAGACAGCTGTGCGGTTCTCTCCAGCTCCAGCTGCCGCCGCCTACCCAGGTCTGCTTTGTGGTGGCGAGATCACAGTGCTTTGTTCGGGGTTTCCCTCCCCGCACCACAGTCCAGAAAGCTCCTCCACGCCGGAGCAAGTGGTGCTGGGCCCGGCCTCGCTCCCTTCCCTTCTCTCGGGGGTAGCAGTGCTTGCTGCCCGTGGTCTGATGTTGCAAAGCAGCTGTTTGTTGTATTTTCTTCCAGTGTAACAGCTGCTTATGGTGGCAGCGCTCTATCGTGGTCGAGTATCTTTTTAAACTCTATCGTGTCATTTCTTACTTCATAGTCCAATTAAGCACCATCATCTTGCAAGTTCATGGAAAGAGGCACTCCATTTTGAGCAAATAATAGCATGTAACGTGATCTTGTATGCATTAATTTTATGCGAACGAGCTTTAAAAATTAACTTCAAATTAAAGCTGTCACATTGATGATTTATTAATTTGCTGGGTAAAGAATAATTACCCACACCCCGCGGCACTTAGATCATACCCATCCCTTCTGCCAAATGGGCTTCTCTGGGCTACTTATTGGACATGTACTGGCTCTGGAGGTTTTATTCTCCATTCCTTCTTAAGTCCTATGGAGGTAGAGTCTTTATTTTTATATCCTAGGGACAATTATTATTATCATCATCATTATTATTATTATTTGGATTCCAGCTGCTTCTGCTTCCCAGGGTCTGGTTTCTATTACCGAACAGAAAGCAGTGCTTTGTTTTAGAGATAGCCAGCATACTTACTTACATATTCATTTAGTAGTGAACGTAATTTTTATTTATAATATTTATCATATTCACTTTTATACTAAAATACTATATTCACTTTTGCCAAAACCCGTTTGGCTCAGTGGATAGAGCATTAGACTGAACCGTCTCAGGTTTGATTTCAGTCAAGGATATGTACCTTGGTTGCGGGCACATTCCCAGTAGGAGGTGTGCAAGAGGCAGCTGATCGATGATTCTCTGTCATCTATGTTTCTAACTCTCTATCCCTCTCCCTTCCTCTCTGTACAAAATCAAAAAATATATTTTTAAAAAATAAAATAGCCGAAACTGGTTTGGCTCAGTGGATAGAGCGTCAGCCTGCGGACTCAAGGGTCCCGGGTTCGATTCCAGTCAAGGGCATGTACCTTGGTTGCAGGCACGTCCCCAGTAGAGGGTGTGCAAGAGGCAGCTGATCGATGACTCTCTCATCGATGTTTCTAACCCTTACTCTCTGTAAAAAAATCAATAAAATATATTTAAAAAAAAAAAAGATTTGGTTTAATCACACCTCTGAGATTAAAAAAAAAATACGAATACAGCTGTGACAAACATCTTTAATAAATAAATAAATAAAAAATAAATAAATAAAATATATTCACTTTTATTGCAAAGTAACTTTGCATAGGCTTTCTGTCTGGTGATTCAAACATTAGATGGATGAATGATTGGCCTAGTCACTTTTTTTTTAATAATGGTAACATTTTAAAAAATATATTTTATTGATTTTTTATAGAGAGGAAGGGAGAGAGATAGAGAGCTAGAAACATCGATGAGAGAGAGACATTGACCAGCTGCCTCCTGCACACTCCCTACTGGGGATGTGCCCGCAACCAATGTACATGCCCTTGACCGGAATCGAACCCGGGACCCTTTAGTCCGCAGGCTGATGCTCTATCCACTGAGCCAAACCGGTTTCGGCTGGCCTAGTCACTTTTAATTCCCTTTAGACCTTGAAATGCATTATTTCACAGCAACTTAAATTCAGCAAGACTATCTTGAGTGCCATTGCAGTTGTGTACATTGTATGGGAGGAAAAGCTGTCTTTGCCTCTAAGGAGCTTAGAATTTCATTATCGAGTTCATACCTATGTTTTGTGTGTGTGTGTGTGTGTACACTTAGTGTAAAGTCGAGTCTGATTAATTGCAGAATAAACAACACAACCCATAAAAATGCCTGGGATATTAAGTCAGAGAAGAGACACAGGGCAGACGTAGATTGAGAAAGGCACATCTTGTCATCTTGTGTGGGGGAATGCCAGGAAAAGAGCCATCCAAACAGGACAGAGGAGGACACACATTAGCAGGAATGTCAGTAAAGAGACCAGCCTCGCAGTGAAAGCTGTTTGGTCTTATTTTTTTTTAAATGTGTTGCTAAGTTATGAACTATTGCAATTTTATCAACAATGGCATTTCTTTCTGCTCTTGCCAGCATGGTGTCTAGAGTTGGAAGTTTTGCAAAACTAAGGTGCCACTAGTAATTACATTTTAATGTTGCAGCAGAGTAAAATTTTAATGGAAAAATTCTCATTTGTATCATGAGCTACGTCTGTTTGAAAAACAGGATGGACGGAATAGCCTTCTGAGGTGTGCCTTTTTGGAGCAGCTAGGTGTTGGAGAAATTCTTTTCAGATCTGTCGCTCGTCTCTGTTTGAGTCTACAGTAGATTCCGGTCCTTTGTTCCTTTTGAGCTTGGAAGAATCAAGGTCACAGTGAGGTTAAGACTGTCTTGCTGTGTTGGTATTGAATCTTGCTCTCCTTTCATTTTTATTCTGGTGTTAGGACAGTCATTCAAAGTGGATTAATTATTTTTTGTTAATATTGTTTAAATAAAATTAAAAAATAGTAAGTTTATATAAAAAAAATGTAGATGTCCTACAAAGTGAAAACAAAGCACTGTAATTTCTTTCTATTATCTATGACCTAAGTTTTAGAACATGTGTATAATTTAGTGTGTTATTGACTAAGACTTCTGTAAGAATGAAAATCCCAAATAATGAATTTCAGTGTGTAATAATTTTTAGTTGTAGAAATGTACATTAATAGTGAATTATTTTGGTTGAAAGTATCAAACAAGCTGAAAATGTGACTGTGATATATATATATTTTTTTTAATTTAGAGTGTTATTTTTAAATTTGTCTCTGTTTTTGAAAGTATCACAGATGTCCTGTCCCTCGCTCCCCCCATTGACCCTCTCCGTCCTGACCCCCTCCTCCCAGGCTGTCACCACCCTGTCGTCTGTCCATGGGCTCTGCATATATGCTTATACATTCTTTGGCATAATGAAAGCTTTATTTATGTCTTCATTCAGATTTTCTAAAATTGTTGTTTAAAAAATGCTTAGTAATCATGCTAAAAGTCTTTGGTATGCATATTTTCTTTTCCCCCGGTTTATTTTTGAGGCAAAAGTTAGACTCCTGATTGAGAGTGTTCACTCAGAGGGAATGTAGGGGAGGGTAGGAGTAAGGGGGAGAGAGAGAGATCAAAGGACTTGTAGGCATTCATATAAGCCTAACCAATGGACACAGACACCAGGAGAGGGGGGGCAGATGTGAGGAGTGGGGAAGCAATGGGGATAGGGACACATAAGTAATACCTTAGTCAATAAAGAAAAATAAAATAAAATAAAATAAAATAGCAGAGATTGCAAGAGCAATGAAGGGAGGAAAGGAGACGGATAAATACAGCGTTTCTGGGGGATAGGATTCAGTGTGAGTGTATAAAATGTGTATCATGCCATAGAACTGTTTTCAAATCTATTCAGTACCATTTTAAATGTTTGATATTTGATATATTCAATTCTGCATTAACTTACTTATGGGTTTTTTTCTGCTTTCTGACCACCTCGTTTTTGGTCACTGCAGGATTTGCAGTGACCATTCCTGTAGCTAATGCAACATTTCCTAAGTTCCTCTAAAGGCCATAGTAAGAACCAACTAAATACATTTATATAATTGAATCATTTTTATTGGAGAAAATAAGTGGAAGCCAAGGAAATTTGGTTTTAATATTAGACAATATAAGACTTCCTTCCCCTTTTATCTCACGAATGTGTAACTTACTCATTTTAACAAGGTAGAATTTGCTGATAAAACATACACTATAGTGTATGCTTTTGTCGGAAAAAGTTGTAATGAATTTTCAGAGCTTTCGGTGCTGTGCAAATAGCACATGTACTTCTGTGGTTGTCTTGGTGTCACTCTTTTTGTTCTTGTTGTTCACTTTTGGCAGATCAAATAACACAAGAAGATATTGAAGGCATTTTACAGAAATTTACTGGGAATATAATGCAGGTACCTCCCCTGTAAGTTCAGTTATTAAATTTGAGTAAATGTGTAGCTTTATTTTTCAATGGTTGACATCACTTTAATTAAGGAAAAAAATTGCTTTTTTAAAATGTATGGTGAGACAGGTTTTAAACTTGGCATAGCAAATGATAATTTTGCCTCCAAGGTAAAGACTTAAACATTTCAGCAGGCGATGAATAAACATTGTTTTGGATCATTATTGTTGAAATAAATTAAACATTTGTATTCACAAGAACTGTTTTCTTCTCTGACTGTTCCAAGGATTTTGTAGTCTAATAAAACTGTATCTCACACGGCTAAGATCTGTTGAGTAGATTACTCGATTATTTGTTTTTCAGGAACATTTTGATAGCTTCTGTGCGAAAATGAATTTTACTGGAATGGAAATCATTTCATGGGAATATAGCTGAGATCCTGTGACTGGAGGCCTTGTGCTCTTCACCCAGAATGAGGTCTAGTGAGGACATGACCAGACCACCTCCAGGAAGAATGAGAGAAAGAATAGAATTGACAAGATTGCTCATTGGGCACCATTCCATTTACATTTGATCTGGTGCTCATTTTTTTATCTCATCTCTGGTCCCACCCTTGAGCTAATGGGAAAAAAATTAAACTCCCAGGAAGTAAGTTCTGATTAAGTCCTGCTTGTCTTAAAGATGTTTAGGAGCTTTATCCCTGATACCCTTCTGGAGTAGATGAGAAGAAATAACCAGTTCATTTTTCTTAGAAGGACTTTCAGTTCAAAGGGCCCCTAGCCATCCTCTCCATGCTGTAATCCGGAATTAAATTCTGTCATTCTTTTCTTAATTCTTCTTTGTAAGCTATTCTGCATTAAAGAAGGATGGACAGAGACTTTCCACTCTAATGAAGCGAGGAGAAGCAGTAGAAGCAAAACCTGCCAGGCCAGTTACGGTGTACAGCATCTCCCTTCAAAAATTCCAGCCACCGTTTTTCACGTTAGGTAAGACAGAAATTAAAAATCGTTTGTATGTACCTGTCCCTTTATTTTGTATTTGGCCACTTTTGGGTGATATAATGGGTCCCTAGGATATTGAGGAGTCTTAAATTCAAATTTATGGAAGGTTAGGCTTTGTTAATACCCTTTGATAACTCATTTAATGAGGAAACCTACAGGTTGTTGGTTCAGAAATACCTTTCTATGTAGACTTTTTTAATATGTTGTATTATATTATCTTTCTATAAAGTTAAAAGTAACATATCCTAGATCTCTATGAAGAAAGGTAGGTGAGTAAATATTTTCAAAATTTAATGTTTTAAAATTTATCCTACGGATATTTGTTCCCCCATTTGGGCTAGTATCTGAGAATTTACCTTCAGTATAAAATCCGTACTCATTTGTCCTCTTAAAACAAAGCATTTTTCGTTTTAGGACAGGACATCTGTGAGTGTTGTGATTTTTTTTTTCACCTTCCTTGTTACCTGCAAGTAACTGTTAAAGATCATGGAAATAATGCCTGGGCAGAAATGCATTATTGGACACAGGGCACATTTTAATTCAATTTGAGTTATCTAATAAACTTAAAAACCAAAATGTTTGTTTTGCTTGATTGGAAATCTTATGACCTCCTAGTTGCAGAAAGTAGTCGCTAAAGTCCTGGACATACAAGGGCTGTAGTTCTGGATTCTTAGGCTTCTCCAATCGAGCCTACTCTTAATTTCATGGCGCATACCAAAGAGGGTTCCTTTAATTTCCCAGAGCCTTTTTCCTGAACTTGGTTGCTTTAACGTGTCATCTGGCAGAGTGTGCTTTTTGTTCAACTGAAAAAAGAAGTCACTCCTTTTCTTTAGTTTCCTGATTTTAAAGTGTTTGACAAATAATGAGAAAAACACACTCATAGATATTTTGTTCCATCCCATGAAAACATAGCAGCTGGTTGGCACAGGAGGCACTATCTGTGAAAGGAAGAAAACTCAGATTTTTCCGATGGCATTGATGCCCTAAATGCTTCATTTTGTCCCCTGGAAGTTGTGATAGGCCAAAAGCCTTGTCTTTGCACCAAAGCCAAAAATAGTGCATGCATGTTGACCCACTTACATTTGGTCTAGTGCTCATTTTTTATCTTAGCTCTGGTCCCCACCCTTGAGCTAATGGGAAGAAGTAAAGAATTAAACTCCCCAGGTAGTAAGTTCTGATTAATTTCCTTAAATGGCTTTATTTGTATGACAGGACTAGAAGCAGGTGGAATAGAGCATGTTTTAAGGGTGAATAAAGATAATCCAGAGCCCTGCTCTGAACCAATAAACTTGTGTTATGCCATGTTAAGAAGATGTTTAAATATGCATTTAGTTTTAGAACATCATGTAATTTTAGTTATTTTATGATTTCTCTAGGAATATTTCCAAGAAAACACTTAAGAATGCTGAGCTCTCCGTGTAGTATATTACCCCAAACATAGTCCAAAAAAAAAAAAGGATTTTTGTTTGTTTGCTGTAATTGTGGAGATTGCACATCTGAAACCATTTTTAAAATCTACAGCTGATGATAGCAAAGCTGAGATGTCTAACCATTTCAAACCTGTTAGATGAACAAGACACGGAAATCTGAAAATATTTTTTTTAAACCCTCAGCTCATGTTCGCAGAGATGAGAGGTCTACTTAAAGCCTATTAAATGAACAAGGCTGGGGTATTAGGGTGGCATGCCTCGCCAGTTAATTTAAAACGTGCTCCTGAGTCTCCACTGTTTGCTTTCTCCGCACTCTGACTTTCCAATCTCACAAACACATACGCTGCTGGATGAATAATTTATGTCTTAGCACATCAATATTTTATCACCCGATTGTTTGCATAGTGCATTTTTACATTTGTTTAGAGGCATCTTTTCTATGCAAAGTGGGTTTCGTAGGCGGTTAGCAATTTACCATGTCACTGTTAACATTCCAGATGTTGAGTGTGGAGGAGGTTTTTATATCAGAAGCTTGGTCAGTGACATTGGCAAAGGTAAGCATAAATGTCTTATGAATTATCATCCAGAGAGTAATCTTCCTTTTTTGATGAGAAGAGGGAATCTTCTATTTTGTCATATCTCTGAGTTCTGGCCTTACGAACTGGGCTCTGGCTGCCTCCAGCTTCGGAAGCATTCGGGGTTTATGGCACATGATTATCAGCATCGGCAGCTGCAGCTAAACATTTGTAATGAGAGAAGAGAGGGGGGAGAGAGACAGAAAATGACGATGGGAATGATGAATGGAAGGACCAACATTTTTTTTCAAGTACCAAATATTTCAACCCAAAGTAGGGGGAAGAAAAAAAAAAGATGTATCCTTCCAGAAGTTATTTTCTTTGGTACAAGTCAAGTGTTTTAAAAACTGGAAGTCACGGCCTTCCAAAGAGCCAGGAAGTTGCAGTTCTGGCCCCAGTGTTTGCTGGCAGTTGTGACACTGGACAGGTCATGTTACTTCCTCTGCCAAGTGAGGGAAACAGTTACCTCATGGGGTTGCCTCGGGGGTCAGATGAGAAGAGCGTGTGTGGACTTGAAAGCCGTTCCTACGGCGAGTTATTCAATAGTATTTTGCTGTTTAATCGTTTCTGAATCCCAGGGTTCTTGATTCTCAAGTTGGATTATTGCAACTTGACATTGGGCGTGGTTTTGAGAGGTGTGAATGGAGTTCTTCTCTCCTTTGAACGCATAGCTCGCGGTAGGGGAGGGATTCACCCTGTGAGTTCCCTTCCACCTTCTGTGCTGCAGAGCTCTCCTCCTGCGCCAACGTGCTGGAGCTGACGCGGACCAAACAGGGGCCTTTCACGCTGGAGGAGCACGCCCTGCCCGAAGACAAATGGACCATTGAGGACATTGCACAGTCCTTGGAGCATTGCTCCTCTCTCCTCCCGGCAGAGCTGGCACTTAAGAAACCAAAGCCCGAGGAGTCTCAGGAACAGGGTTTGAGCTGCGAATATATAACCCTGAATGAGACCAAGGGAGAAGACGGTGACAATAAAACGTGTTAACGTTGGCCTGGGTCATCATGTCTTGGCTGACATTTGAATCCCCTGTCCACAATGACAAGCTCCGGGCAAAGGAAAATCTCCCCCTCCCCCCCCTTTTTTTTTTGCACGAAAGAAAAATGTCCATCATTTATAGTTTCGAGAGGGTACAGTTTTATCTGCCTTGCAGTTGTTCAGTTCTATCCCGTACCACCGTGGAATGTTCTGGAGTATTATGTGGTTAGATTGGATTCAGGAAAGTCAGCTTTCTGATTTGGATCTTGCTTCAAAGTCTTCTCCTGTGAAAAAGCTGAACACATTTTCTCATCAGAGAAAAATGATATATGAGCTCCATGGTTCTTTGTCATCACAAAAGTTAATGTCAATGAATGTTACTTCGACTTTCTTTTGGCCCCGGTGCTCTGTTGTATTGAAATTCTTTCACTATGTTTGAAAAGGCTGGTATTTAACTCTATTTTTACGTTTTGGAGAGTTTGCCATTATTAAGAACATGTCTTTGATAAGGATGCATTTATTTGGTAATAGCTATGTTTGTTTAGGTCTTGGACATTAATAAACTTTTAAAATAAATGTTTATAATTATACCAAATTATTGTTGCTACCACTTAAGGGATATCAGTACAGGACTAAATGTTTAAATTCGCCTCTATCATTAGTACACAGGATAGCCCAATGGCTTATATTTTGGGAGCTGTGAGATCTTTTTCTGATATTTTTCATAGTTGACCACCCTGCACTAAATGTTACTAAATAAGTTTTTAAAAAGTAAGCTAAAGAATGTATCATCAATTAAAAATGTTTTTATTCTTTAGTATTTATTTATACCTTTCGAAGGGCATTGTTTTTTAATTTGCTTTCAGATGATATAGCTTTTGAGATAGTCCCCATGCATTTCCAGTTAATCTCTTTTGTTCTAAATATTTAAAAAGTTTTTTTCAAACATTTTTATTCAAATTGCCTATTGATGCCTTGCCAGTGTTGCTCAGTGGTTGAGCATCAATCTTTGAACCAGAAGGTCATGGTTCAATGCCCCACCAGGACACTAGCCCAGGTTGCAGGCTCAATCCCCGGTACGGGACATGCAGGAGGCAGCCAATCAATGATTCTCTGTCATCATTGAAGTTTCTATCTCCCTCTCCCTTCTCTGAAATCAATGAAAAACAAAACAAAACATATATATATATATATATATATATATATATATATATATATATATATATAGTGTGTATATATATATATATATTTAATATTTTATCGATTTTTTTACAGAGAGGAAGGGAGAGGGATAGAGAGCTAGAAACATTGATGAGAGAGAAACATCAATCAGCTGCCTCCTGCACACCCCCTACTGGGTATGTGCTCGCAACCAATGTATTATACATGCCCTTGATTGGAATTGAACCTGGGACCTTTCAGTCCGTAGACCGACACTCTATCCATGAGCCAAACTAGTTTCAGTGAAAATATATATATTTCTAAAAAGATAAGTAGCATACTGAAAATTTTCTCTCCCTTGTTAACAATTTTGAAAGCATAATCATATTACAAAATAGCAGATTTCCTATGTAATGAGAGTTTCATATTTTTGTTATGGAAAAACAATATATTATGCAGCCAGTCTGTAGAAATTAGAAATGTTTAAGTCCTGCTTCATTTATTCAATCAATATAGTTTCAAAAGGAGTAATCATTAAAAATTTTCACAACATAAGAGTATCTTGATTTTTATAGGTTGCATTTCTCTTAAGGTGGTTGTCTGCTTGCAACCTCTAACTTGAAAATTTTCAATATGAAAACAAACATGATTTTCTTTATGGCTAACCTGTTAGAAACTCAATGTAAAAATGTGTATGCTTCAGGAGAGCATTTTCATCACATTAGCCATATATTTTAAATGAAAATATTAAAAGTAATCCTTTTTTAAAATTAAATTTAAAAAAATTTATTTTTATTTTATTACAGAGAGGAAGGGAGAAGGATAGAGAGTTAGAAACATCGATGAGAGAGAAACATCAATCAGCTGCCTCCTGCACACTCCCTACTGGGGATGTGCCCGCAACCAAAGTACATGCCCTTGACCGGAATCGAACCTGGGACCCTTGAGTTCACAGCAGATGCTCTATCCACTGAGCCAAACCGGTTAGGGCAAAAGTAATTCTTAGTATGTCACAGAACATTATAAGGAAAAGTGTTTGATATCTCAAGATATTAACCTAAAATGCCAAACACACAGTTGTAAATTCAAAGTTTACAGTTTTATTTATTCCTATCTAGTGCTCTGCAGATTGTCAGCCAAAAATGGCACTGGCTGCTCATCTGTTGGAATGGTACAGGTTAGGGTAGGTGTTCACGCACTGCAGTGAAGGTCCCAATAGAGGCATAAGGTCCCTATAGAGGACATTTGCAAGGGCATTTCTGTCCTACATCTCAACTTAAAAATTGACATGTATGGTTTACTATTGGAGAAGAGTAGAGATTGTTTGAATAGACAAGTCATTTTAAAATAGTAATGATCTTTCTCTTTTATATTGAAAACAATGAAGAAAATTGTGCCAAATGGGAAAATTCCCCATAATCCTCAACCTCCTGGTGCAGTGACTTCAGAACTTGAATTTTGTATTAATATTTTCCCTTTTGTTTGCATAATTACAATCTTAAAATACCTACTGCTTTTTAATTGGCTGGGGTTTTTTTGCTTCCTTTTATCGGATATGTAATTAGTTTTGATCATTATTATTTTAAACAAGACTTCATATTCAGTTTATTTAAACTGTTTTCTATTACTGAACACTTAAGTTATTTTCAATTTTATTAGGATAAATTCCTGGGAGTGGGATTATTAACTGGAATAATATGAACAATTTTATAATTCTTAATATGTTTGCCTTATTGCTTTCCCAAAAGATGTAGCATTTTAGTGTCACAATTTCAATATTATCAGTTCACTAAAAGTTTACAGCTTTTTGGGTGGGGATTTGATATGTTGTTGCTGCTAATTTAGAAGTATAAGAGAGAGTTTAAAATTGCTCTAATTTGTTTTTATGTGACTTTTCATGTACCTTGTTCATTTTTATAAATAAATGTCATAGTTTCTTTATACGTATGTATGAGTTATTTATGCAGGTAATACTTGGTAGAAGTATTTTCATGACCTATGTGTTATTTTTAAATTTTATTTTCATGTTTTAACTTCTGCTTAATAATTCTTCAGATTTTATAGTTGTCATATTTATGAGTATAAGTAGTTAAAATTTACTTAAACTTTAAAATAGTATTCATACCTCTTATAAGCAGCTGAAACTGATCAAGGTGATTTTAACATTTTAAGACTTGTCCAAAAACAAATTAGTTTTCTCCGAAGAGTCTACTACTTAAGTACCAACCTTTATTTTTCATTTTAATCAAATTGTTAAATACACGTTTCTTACATATTTCTAGGCCTAGAAACTAGGAAGTGATTTCCTTTATGTCTAGGACTCCCAGAATTTCTAAACTGTCATTTGGGGCCTTTACGAATTAATTACAATCTTGGTCGTTTTCATCTTACCTGCTTTTAGGATGCCTGCCTCTTCCTTCATTGCTATTTAGAACTGAAACAATTCATATTTCCTCTGAGTTTATTTTTCCTTGCAACCTCAGGGCTCATGCGCTCAAGAGGTTTTCCATTTTTTTCTCGCTCTTAGGGTGTTAGTGACATTCTCTTGAAGCTTCCATCCTAAGTGCGAGCATAAACTTAATGCTTTAGTATTTTCCCCCAGCATTGATAGTTGCCAGGATATTGAGGTTATTTTATCCACTGATTTTGCTAGAAATAGAACTCTATATACAAAGAGACACCAGAATATTACAACTAATTTTATATCCTTAGAAAATAATCTGTTGATCCAGTAATGGCAAAACATTTAATAAACTAGCAATCCTATAGTCAGGGTACTTTGACATTAGTTGACTTAATTCTTTTAAAATAAGTCCCAACTAAGGTGAGAAAATTAGGGCATAGAAAGTAACTTTTCCCAACTCCCAAGTTAATGCATGAGTAACTTAGAGGCTAGATATCCTAACATCATCAGTAATTTTTTGGCTCACACAGTTGGCTATATGATCTAAAGGTGAAAACGAAGTGATTTTATTTCATATTTAAATGTGTTAGTTGTCAGTGGATAGCAGACAAAAGTCTTGAAGACATCGTCTAGCCTTAAGGAAGCTTTCACATACTTCAGATGAGAACTCAAGAAATGTACCTATAAAAAATTAAGGAGTGGTGCAAGAGACTCCCTAAGTGTCAGTGAGTGGTATTGCCCCAAATGCTAGTGCTGTTTAATGGAACAGTAATTAATTTCTGCAAACTCCCGTTGAGCTCCTAAGAACAGACAAGGGAGAACACTGGATGGCTGCATTGAGGAGTGCCTTGAACAGTAGGTACTATTCAAAGACTTCAGAAAAGAAAAGTTCTGGAGGAGAGACGGCAAAGATGGCAGTATATAATGCACATTCAGGAAAGAGGAGAATGGTGAGGATGGAGAAGAACGTTCATGTCAGACTATGGTTACAAAGGCTGCTTGGCGTTCCATCGTTTGGCACTTTGAAAGCCAGAATTAAATAAGGCTTCACGTGGAAGCTCTACTTTTAGGAGATTAATTTGGCAGTCGTGTGGTAAGAACGGAAGAGGCAGAAATACAGGTCAGGGAGCCCAGTTAGAACTTCCCTAACCTGGTAAAGGAAAAAGTCACACAAATTCAGGAAGCAAAGAGAACCCCAATCAAGAACTCAAACATACCCACACCAATACACATCAAAATTAAAATGCCAAAAATTAAAGACAGAACCTTAAAGCAGCAAGAGAAGAGAAAACTTACCTACAAAGGAGTCCCCATAAGGCTGACACCTCATTTCTCAACAGAAACTCTAGGACAGAAGGGAATGGCATGAAGTACTCAAGGAAATGAAAAGCAAGGATCTGAGACCAAGATTACTATATCCAGCAAGGCTATCATTCAAAATAGTCAAATAAAGAGCTTCCCAGACCAAAAAAAAAAAAAAGGCTAAAGGAGTTCATCACCACCAAGCCAGAAACGCTAAAGCACAGTGTCAAACACAAGGCCCGCGGGCCAAATCCGTCCCGCCAGGCCTTGCAATGTGGCCCGCACCGCGCTGTCATCACTGCACTCCGCTGCGTTTCCATCTCAATGACAGTTTATGACTGTTCAGTAAACCATTCGGTCCGCGATTTAGGCTGGATTTTAGATTTTGGCCCCTTATCTGATTGAGTTCGACACCCCTACGCTAAAGGGATTGCTGAGAAGAAGAAACACAGAGAAACCTAGCCATACAGAATTAAAATGGCTATTAATAAGTATCTCTCAATATAACCCTAAATGTAAATGGATTAAATGCCCCAATCAAAAGGTGTAAGGTAGCCGAATGGATACAACAACATGACCCAACTATATTCTGTCTACAAGAGACCCACCTCAAAACAAAAGACACACACAGGATGAAAGTGAAAGGGATGGGAAAAAAGAATTCCATGCAAATGGGAAAGAAGAAAAAGCTGGAGTAGCGATGCTCACATCCGACAAAATAGCCTTTAAAAGCATCATGTTAGGCGAAATAACCCAGTCAGAAAAAGATAAATATATGGAATTTATGGAATATATTGAACAACATAAACTGATGAACAAAAATAGATCCGGAGGGTGGGGGGGGGGGGGAGGATAAACTAGAAAACAATAGAAGCAATCCTGTTATTTGCAGATTTTTAATATTTTCTATAACTTTTGTGATATCATCCTATGTTAGTACAGTTTTGGTAATATTATGCTTAAAATCCTTTTATTCTTGAAATATTAGTGTTTATTGCATGTGATATATATAAAATCATTTTTTGAATAATTAGTGTTTATTGCATGTAACATTTAAAATAGCTTTTTCTTGAGATACTGTTTATTTAATGTAAACAAATATTCTGAAATAGCAGGATACTGAAACATTAAAAAAAATTCTCATGGTTTATGGACTCAA